CCCCAAAACCCCAAAACCCCAAAACCCCGTAAGTTTCACATTTTAAATTTAGCTCATTTACATGCGTTGTAAATTTAAACTATATACTTATAGATATAAAAGAAGAAAATAAAAAAGCATTAGCTTAAAGTTTTTTCAATTTCTATGACTTAATACTTTATCATATCTATTTTTCTCATGCAGCTATTCTTTTCATCATTGTTGAGAATTCTTCAAAGGAAATCTGTCCATCACCATTTGCATCGACTTGCTTGATGATTTCATTGACAGCTTCCTCACTGAGAGTCTTTCCAAAACCTAGGATTTCCTTAATTTCATCTGATGAGATAAACCCACTATTATCTTTATCGAACATTCTGAATGCAGATTGAAGTTTCTCATTTGTAAGTAAATTCTTTTCATTCATTGCAGCAACAACAAACTCGGAGTAATCAATAAATCCACTATGGTCAAAGTCAACAGCTTTAAACATTTTCTCAATATCAGCTGGATCTGATGGTCCAAAAAATAACGAATATCCACTTAAGATTTCATCTAAAGAAAGTTTTCCATCTCCATTCTTATCAATGGCTTTGAAAATTCTAGCCATGCTTTCTTTCTCTGTTTTGGACAGAAGTTGGGAGGCAATAAATGCAAAGGTTGCTTGTTTTAGCTTTTAGTCAGCTCTAAAAGTTTTCAAATTTTAAAGTGCTCCTACAGCTACAGTTGAGTCAACACTTTATGTGCTATTATCAATAATCCAGGGATGTTATAAAGCATCTTCAGCTGATGGTCTTTGCTCAACATCATATGTAAGGAGTTTAGTAATAAAGTCCTTTCCTTTGTCTGAGATATTTGACCAGCATGGATCAGAGAAGGAGAACTTTCCAATTCTAACTTTCTTCATGATCTCCTGGTCGCTTTGCCCGTTGAATGGTGGCATGCCAGAGAGGATGATATATGTGATGACTCCACATGACCAGATATCACACTTCTCGTTGTACTTCTTGTTGAGGACCTCAGGAGCGATGTAATAGGGAGTTCCTAGTTTCTCATCAAGTGATTTAGCACTATCATAGACGAGGGAAGTACCGAAATCAATAATTTTGATTTGATCGAAGTCTTTATTTTGCTCTAAAAGAATGTTCTCTGGCTTAAGGTCTCTATAAAGATGTTATTTAAGAAAGTCATACCTATGGACAATGTTGTTTTTGTGGCAATAGTTGACACAAGAGAGTACTTATTTCATAAGAATCGCAGCATCTTTCTCTGTAAACTTTCCTCTTGCTATAATTTCGTCGAACAACTCTCCTCCTTTACAGATCCTAAATAGTTGGACAATATTTAAATTTTACTCAGTCACAATGTAGTAACGTTTCTCATCTTCAAAGAACTCGTACATTTTGACGATGTTAGGATGATCCTACATAGTTTAAATTAGAATCCGTTTAATAGTTTAAAGATACGCCTTTAACTCAAATTGAGATAATTAAATAATAAGGCGGATAGGAGAAAGGGACGGGAGCTTACCAATTCGCGCAATATGTTGATTTCGTTAAAAAGCATTTTCTTCTCATCTTCATCCATATGGCTCTTTCTTAGTACTTTAACAGCTCTTTGGGCACCTGTTTCTCTGTGAACGCACATCCTGACTTCTCCAAATGCGCCTGAAAGATAATTATCCAGCATCAGACTTACCGCTTCCAAGCATCTTGCCAATTCTATAGTGATCTCTTAGCTTTCCTTCATTTTGTGTGACGAACCTGTTGGCGTTGATCTTGATTTCTTCCTCTATAAGCATCGATAAAGATGGATTTGACTTAGATGTGACTTACATCGATCCATGATGACTTTTAGATTAAACTTATTAATATTTCTCCTAAACTTCAATATAAATCAGAAACTATTATTCATATATCAACTAATAAATATCAATTTAACTTTTTATTTTCTAGAACAAATTCGTTATCTTCTCTTAGGGGTTTTGGGGTTTTGGGGTTTTGGGGTTTTGGGG